CTCCGATGCAACCTCTCTGCAAGCCCAATCAGCCTCTCTTTCTCATTCTGTCCAAGCCTTGTGACAGGAATGCCAGTCCATCGGCTTACAACCTCTGCAATATGTTCTGGCCCAACAGTTTCTGTTAACATTAAATTTTCATCTGTGCTTCCTTCAATCTGGGCTATTGCAGATTCTACTTCCTGAATCGCTCCATATCTCAAATCAGCAACTCTTGCCAAATCATATCTCCTTTCTGCCTCCTGCAAAGCGAACAAGAGCTCTTCTCTCTTCTGCTTTAGTCGGCGAATCTCATCAACTCTTTCTTTCTCCTTTCTATATTTCATCATGAGTGGCTGAAGCTTGTCCCTCAAGTCATCAAGCTCTTTCCGGACCTAAATGGAAGAAACAAAAGTTAGATCCGGTATAAAGAAGATAATTAGCATAATCCATCATTTCTTTTTTGAGAGCCAATACTTACTTCAACAAGTCGAGCTTTGCTAGCTTTATCCTTCTCCTTTTCCAATGCATGCAGCTCGACTTCTAGTTGCATTCTTCTTCTTTCAAGATTATCAATTTCTTCAGGCTGACTGTCAAGCTGAACTCTCACATTTGCGCAGGCTTCATCAACCAAGTCGATTGCCTTGTCAGGAAGATGACGTCCTGAAACGAATTAAAAATTATGCAAATGAATATCATGCCAAACTCAGCACAGAGAATCAAATTTCAAAATTCAGACAACTAATTTCTGCATTAACAGATATCATATCATTTAATGAAACATTTGTTAAAAAGAAATATAGCATACCAGTAATGTATCGACTTGATAACTGAGCTGCCACCACCAAGGCACGGTCTTGAATCCTAACACCATGGTGACCCTCGTATTTTTCTTTCAATCCTCGAAGGATGCTAATTGTATCCGCAACACTAGGCTCAGCCACATAAACCTGCTGGAACCTTCTCTCAAATGCAGCATCCTTTTCCACATACTTTCTATATTCCTCGAGTGTAGTAGCACCAATGCACCTAAGTTGACCTCTAGCAAGCATAGGCTTAAAGAGGTTAGCTGCATCCATAGAACCCTCAGTTCGACCAGCCCCAAGTACTAAGTGGATTTCATCAATGAAGAGAATCACTTTGCCCTCAGCTTCCTCAACTTCTTTCAAAACTGCCTTCAATCTTTCCTCAAACTCTCCTCTATATTTTGCTCCTGCAATCAATGCACCCATGTCCAATGCAATGAGTCTCACATCAGCAAGATTACTAGGAACATCTCCTCTCACAATTCTTTGAGCCAAACCCTCTACCACAGCAGTTTTACCAACACCCGGCTCTCCAATAAGAACTGGATTATTTTTAGTTCTCCTTGAGAGGATCCTAATGACCCTTCTAATTTCCTCATCTCGGCCTATTACTGGATCAAGCTTCCCAGCCTGCTCAACAAGATCTCTGCCATATGTTTTTAAAGCCTGAAATGTGGTGTCCCCAGATGCACTCTCCACCTTTTTCCCTTCCTTTCCTCTAAGTTTTTCAACCTCTGATTTCACTCTTGCTGGAGCAACCCCAGCTTCTTTTAACAAATCCGCAATTTGGGAATCCTCAAGAAGGCCTAGAATCAACTGATCAACAGCCAAATGGGTATCACCGCGCGCCTTTTGTGCAGCTTGGGCACGACGAATTCCCTTAATAAGAGAAGTGCTAGCAGGAATTTCATCTGGTGGAGGTGACTGTGATGGTAGCTTCTTCAATGCCTGATTGAATACCCTCTCTGCAGCATGCGCAGCATTCTCACCTCCAGTATTGGAGATTGCTTGATAGAAGACGCCGCTGGGATCGGATATTAAAGCAACTGCAAGGTGGAGGGGAGTGAATTGGGCATGGCCATTGCTCATTGCTAGCTCATGAGCCCCAGCAAGAGCCTCATTTGTCTTGTGAGTGAATTTATCAGGATTCATTTATCCTTGCGTGGTATTATAAAACCTGCAAAAAAAAAAACACAACAATTCATACATCCATAAGTATCTGTATTCCTTAGATTACAATCCCAATAAAAAACATGCATTACCAAGCCAAAACCTTGCGTCTATGAAGCAAAGAACAGATTGCAGCCAAGAGGCTAATAAAAAAAATAGCATGACATTTTCACATTCTAAAACTAAATCAAAGACTTTGAAAATGTAACACTTTCAATGAACAAGCAATTGTGAAACAAACATCCTGGCTTAAAGCAGCTTCCAGGGTCATTCTTCAGCAGAGTGATCTTCAACTACTTTAAAAAAACCCAAAAAAAAAAGAAGAAAACTGCTTTCTTACAATTCAACACTTTTTAACACAAAAATATACATTTTTAAACATCAAAAGGAAGGGTTTTTTCTTACCTAATGATCAAAGTCAGAAAACGAAAATAGCTTCTCAGCGAAAGATGAAAACAGAGAGTTGTTGTCTTTGCTTTCCGTTGCTCTGCTTCTTGTCGTTGTTCCTTCTTTTCCTGGAAAAAAATCTCTTTGGAATTTGAGAATTCTGAATTGTTAATGTGATTGATTACTTCGACTTCGCCGGAAAATATGTGAGCAAGAATGGTGGGGGGGATTGGGTTTTTGTTGAGCAAAGGGAGAAGTCTAGAAACTCCTAGACGCTCAGCTGATTTGATGAGCGGAACCTCCTGGACTTGCCTAGAATGTTATCTCACTCGCCACATAAGAGATTGGCGTCTCACGCACCTTTCCTTTTTTTTTTTTCTTAAAACAAAAAATATAAAAAATCATTTTGATTTGTGATAATTTTTTTAAAATGCTGTGTGCAAAATGTTACTTCATGAATTAATTTTATAAGATAATTTATTAAACCCATAAATCTATGATAAATATTCATATTCAAGCTTTGAAAAGGCGATGACATTTCAATTATAAATATTCGATATTAATTACAATATTAATTCAATAAAAAATAGATATATTTATAAATTAGATTTGATTTTTAAAAATTTTTCTTTAAAGTCCGAATTGATCAATCAAACTTTAACATGCTCGGTCATTATTAAGAAAATATTAAAATATTAAAAAATATTTTATATTATATTTCATATATTTTCAAAATTAAATTTAAATAAAAATATATTTTATTTATTATGTAGTGATTTAATTTGGTTAAGCTGGAACGTTAAAATTTATGTTTTGAGCCTGATTCAAGCCAAAACAACAAATATATATATATATATATTGATACATGTATTAAATTAAAATATTTTTTATTAAATAAATAAATAATACAAAAGAATTTAAAATTTCATTTTTAATTAATAATATAATTATAATAATCTTTTTTTACATTCGAATATCTGATTTGATAAATTATTTATATATATTTACTCAGATTGAGTTTATTTTCCTTCTTTCAAATAAAAAGAAAAAAAAAACTTACTATTAATTGTAAGTCTAATCCATTTCAAGAAAAAAAAAAAAGGAATTATATTGATACATTTAAGGTTAAATATTTATTTGACCAAAAAAGTTAAATATGCATAAAAGCATATGAAAGTTTAGTTTTATTAAATTCCAAAACTCTCTCCCTTTTTCTTTTAACTCTAAATTCTGATTAAATAAATAAATAATTATAATACACCTATAAATACATATAAATGATTTTTTTTTCTCACATTAATTTTTTTAATTTATTAAAAAATTATTTTTATTTAATTTAAAAATATTATTATAAAATAATTATATGTATATATATGTTTCTTTACGGGTATGTAACATTATTCATAAAAAATTGAACATGACTTTTATCTTATTAATAAGTAAGATGCTTTTTTGCATAAATATTTTTATTTGGGATTTTGTTGGAGAGGGCACAAACTTGTTTAAAAGAAAAAATATTGAAAATTTTAGATAGTGTTTAGTTTCAAAAAATAAAATTATTTTTTATTTTTATTTTTTAAAAATAAAAAATATAAGTGAAAACGTATTGAGTAATTAAAAATGAAAATAAGTTTTTAAAAATAGAAATAAGAATGAATTGAAATATGAAAAAAAAATTAATTATGGAAATAAAAATGTATATTATTTTTTTCTTATGTTTTATAAATTATCATATTAAATATTTTTTTATATCATTAATTGATAAATATATATTGTATTTGTATTAGATGACATCAATAATAATATCATCAAATATTTTATTCATTTTCTTATTTTTTACATTTTTAAAAAATAATTTTTTCACTTATCAAATATATTTTTTAAAAAACAAAAAAAAAAAAAATTTTTTTTCTCGAACTAAACGGATCTTTCTTCCACGTGACACCGCATCATACATCATACATGTGTAATGTTGATAATATAATATTACGATCTCTCTACCACCTACTAGAATCTTACCCGCCGTCTAAGCATAAGGCATGCGCTGCTTTGGTTGTTGGCTAATTTCTTTTTTTTTTTTTTTTTTGAAGATTAAAAAACCAAAACTTAAAATACTTTAATACTATTACATAAAATACCGTATCCTTTAAGATAGTTGAAGAACATTTTACATATTATATATATATATATATAACAAGAAAAATAACATAATTGTATTTTGAATATTAAAAAAATCACAAATATTTAGCTTCAATATTATATTTTAGCTCAAATGAAAAAAAAAAAAAAGCTTTTTATTGTTTAGGTTCGAAAAATGATGAGAAAAGAAATTTTTATAAATTTAAGAAATTTGATGTAAATAAAAATTTTAATTCAATTCAAATATATTAAGTAAAGTTCATGAATATTTTTATTGTGCAAAGAAAAAAAAACTCTAAACTTAATTATTTTAAATTAAATAGTAGACTTTTTATTTAAAAATAAGCATAAACATAGCTTAATATAAAATATGTTGTACAAACATAAGTCTTAAATAAAAATTATATACTTGGTATTAAATTAAAATATTATTAGTAGTTAGTTTATATTCATGTGTTAGATTTAAAAATTAAAAATATTTTATGAGCATAAATTTGTGGTAGAATTAAAAAATAATCCTCTTACCACAATTTTTTTTTTCTTTCTTGGAAATCCAATTTTGAACATTATTTTATTTTCAAGGTAAGGGTTGGACTTGGACCCATATGGCCATAGTCCGAACTAAGCAACTCCGGGTTCGGATTTTTCTTGACCCACCCGCTTTCCAAATTGCCGTTTTGCTCATTGGGTTCTACTTCTCTTCATTTTTGTACAAGCTGCGAAAGCAGAAGGCAAAGGAAAACGAAAAAAGGAAAGAAACTACAGCAATCATGTGGAGAAGAGCGTTGATGGAGAGCAAAGCTTGCCAATCATGGCGGGTGATAGCAACAAGAGGCGCAGCCACCGGAAGCGGCAAGCACGGCTCCATGTCGGCATCAACGGTGTCGGCGTCGGCGGCGGCGGTTGATTCACTCTTGCTCCGTTCGCTCAAAGACCACTATCTCGAAGTCTCCAAAATGACTCCCCCTCCTGTATGTTTCATTCTTCCTCAGTTCATCTCTCTAATAGTAAATTGTACACCCTTTTTGTTTTGGGTATTTGAATGATTTTCTTTTATCTTATTTCTGTTAAACCCCTGTAAAGCCCAATATGTTAGAAACTAGGGTTTTAGAGAAGTGTTCAAATGGTGATGAATATATCTATAAGAAAAGCAATTTTTTTTTTTTTTTGGATATCTGCTTGAATCCGAAGGTTTCTGTTTTTGGCCAAACTTAAAACCTTGAGGCTTAGGGAGATTTTGGGAGGGTTTTATAGACACATATATAAAAATGTAGTTCAGTTCGTAGTTTTTATGAGTGAATGGTTGCAACTGAAATAGATATGAAAAGTAAAATTATCTTTAATCTTTAATCTTTCAAAAATATTGTTCATTTTTGTTTCCAAATGCCCATTTTGCCTTTCGCTCTCAGGAGCAAAAGGCAAGTAAATAATTTTAACTACCAAATGTCTTATATACCCCATATGTTTTGTCTCCAAGAAATGATATCTTTCAGCATTTTTTCTTCTAATTACTTTTTTGTTTAATGAAACAGTTAGCTTTCTTAGATTTTTGTTTCTTTTGAAGAAAAAACTAATGTGGTAGGAATCACCTATTGAAGATTCTATTGCTGCATGAAATCTGATTGTATGGTTGATTTTCAGGCAGATTTCTATGGTAAATCTAATGGGGTACATTGAAGGGACTTCTGCTAGTGTGAACGCTCTGGCTCTCATCGATTTAGTTTATATTAATATACTCATTTGATGTTTTAAGCGGCTTGTGTAATAGTGTGAATGTATTAATGTTGACAGAAAGTGAGCCCTCCTTCACCGTTTACTATTATCAAAGGTGGACTTGATTCTAATGGCCCTGTTCTCAAGCGAACCTATGGCAAGGAGGAAATTAACATCTTTGTAATGCGGCTGGCTAATATTATTCGTGGTGAAGGTGATGATCCTGAGGAGGATGGAATTAATCAGTTGTTCCTTCATGTAGATGTGTCAAAACCTGGACAGGAAGAATCCTTACAGTTTCTATGTGGATTGTATCCTGATGCTCTTGGGATCCACTCTGTTTCAATGAGGCCAAAGCTTGACTCTTCAGAGGATGTTGTGGTTCCATCTAAATATAATGGTCCTGTTTTCGAGTAAGTCATCAACTCACCATAATCAATATGTTTAAGTATTAAATTTGATTATTTGATACCTCTTGATTGAGTTTTCCTCATAAATTACTGGGAAGAATGGTGTGTTAAATCGTTAAAAGAGTATTCGAAATCATTGGTGTGTTCCTCTGTGCATCTATTATTTTTCCCCATTATTATGTATAAAAATGGGAGCATATAGTAGAATTAGGTAACCCCAACATCCATTATCAATTTATCATAAAACTATTTAGTAAAAAAAGTTCAAGTATTAGTTTTAGCTTGAAAAGAAATTTGGAAAACTTGGCTTCCTCGAAGCAGATGAGTTCTAAATAGCAAATCTATATTAAACCCAAGAGTGGTAATGCAGCACAAGACTGTGGAACGATGCCTTTGGTTTTCTGAACATTTTTTGTTTTCTAGGTAATGTAACTATCTAATATAATTTATATAAACATGAGGTAAGAGACAGAAAGGAGGTGCAATTCTGCTGTTCTTGGATGATACAGCTAGAGAAGCTTGAGTTGGTATTGATATTCATGTGATTGAGTATGTAACATTCGTGCATGGGAGGTTGCATAGATGATTATAATTACATCCAGCACTCTGCCAGGGATGCATTTGACCTATATAAATATTTGATTTTATAGGCTAAAAGCTGATTTCTTTATGGATGCTTTTCTGTCACCGTGCATGCTAGATAAAGATTATTTGCTTTTTGTTTTTTTTTTTTAATTTCTTTTAATCATTATTGGTTAACCCATTCTCATTTCTTATGTTTGTGTATTACTAAGCCGTGTCTCTCTGCTGTTTGGCAGAGATCTTGATGAAAATATGAGGGATGCACTTCATAGTTTTATCGAAGAACGAGGGGTGAATGAGAGTCTCTTTCCGTTTTTACAAGCATGGCTCTATGTGAAGGATCACCGAAATTTGTTGCGTTGGTTCAAGTCGGTAGGCACATTCATTACTGAAAAAAATTCAGTTAATGATACAAAACATTGATGAGGTGATTTTATGAAAAGAGTTATCTATCTTCTCCAAATGGTAGATTAATCTTTGAGGATCAATGAATATTTCCCGCTGGGGTGGACGATGCGTACACATAAGGTTCCTTAGCAAACAAATTTAGCATTAAGACTCATTCTAGGCGGTCTCTTTTATATTTCATTTGGAATTATGGCCTGTTTTAGGTTCTAATATAAGTAATATTTTGTTGGTTCATGTATTTTTGGTGCTAAATACTCCTCTAGACTTCTTTGACCATTTTTCTTTTATATGTCAAACTATGTCAAGAAAACACATAAATCTCTTTTTTTTTTTTTTAATTCTAAAATTATTTTCATGAATTTTTTTTAACTTTTTGGCATTTGAAATATGAAACATCAAATTTGTGAAAAAAATTAGAAATTTAATACTCTTTATGTCCCATTTTATTTGTTCATGTTCGAAATTTTTTATCAAACAATTTGACCTTAATCATTAGGTTTTAAAATATCATATTAAATTAAAATTTTAAAAAATATGTATTTTGAATTTTTTTCAAAAAAATCAATAATTTTATGATTTTATTAAAAATATAATCAAAATTGAATCTATTTAATAAAAAATCAAAAGGAAACAAGCAAAAGGACCAACACCAAAAGGTTTTTTTTTTTTTTTTTTAACTCGGTAAAAGTTAATCGAAGAGTTAACAATTTGGGACAACAAAGGAGTATATTAGTATATTTTATATCTCCTTGTATTTATGGGGTTTTTGTTTTTTTTTTTTCAATCTTTGGTTATAAGATACATGGCCGAGTTGGTGCAGCTAATTTATTTTGTAATGTGAGCCATGTTTTTAAGAAAATTTGGCAATTGTTAGTGTTATGAATTGCTAGCCAACGGCGTGTTATGTTTTAAAGTAGATTACGTTACATTTATGGGTCGTATTTAAATCTAAAAATATGCCAATGATTTTGATAGCTTTATTAATCATCATATATATTGTTTGAATTAAATAATCATATGGTGCGAATAATTGGATAATCGTTAATGAAACCTAAAATAAATAAAAATAATTCACCGAACAATTTAATTATCGATTTTATATGGTCCTAATATGCTACAGCCAATGAGGTTTCATCTCTATTCAATTTCACAATTTGATTATGTGTGATTATGCTAATTAAATTATTTTAAAGCCCAATTTAAAAAAAAAAATGGAGAAACTTCGCAATGGTATAATTTTAAAAATATATTTAAATTTTTTTTTTTTAAATCTATCTATAAGAATCGAATAGATGTTTCACCATAGTCATATCATTTGAGATTCATGGATGATGTACTTGAATTCATTTGATTTAGTAAGAATGGAAATATAGAAAACAAGCAACAACTGGAATTGATAAAATTTCTTAAACCTAAGGAATAATTTCACTATGAAAACAAGTACTCTAAATAAATAAATAACGGTGATGATGAATAAAGATAGAAACATGTATTCCTATTTCTATTGATTGAATAGTGAATATAATAATAGATACCAAACAACTGCACCAACGTTGCCTGCTCCTTCAATGAGGGGAGGTTTTGAGATCGAAAATGACAATCATAATAACCTGCCTTTTCACATTATAGGAAAAAGAAGAAAACTAGTAATCCGTTTTGTCCGCAATTCTTTCCCCTCAAATTCAGTTGCAACTAGTGTCGGGGATTAAAGAAAAGGTTATAGGCACAATTTTTATATAATTGAAAATGATAGAAAGGAGGTAAAGAAGACAATAGCATTTTAAACCTTAAGCTGCTGCGTTCAGTTATTAGTGTTTCCATAACTTAGTGAAGCATCAAGCATATGTCGGCTCAGCTCCACCGCAAAATGTCTGCCTGCGATTCATTAGTCAGAGGATGGTCGGATACAAGCTTTTTCTGTGGAAAGATGGTAATAGCAATCAAGACTCGGAATCTATAATATAATTTATAGTTATAAATATTAATATTCATCATATTAACTATACATATTATGTCAGTACTTGAAAATCCTTTACAGGATATGTAACAATGTAATACTTGCTCAAACATTATCACTAAAATTAACCGCACTTGTAACCTTGTTTTGCTTCAATAATATGTGAATGAGCAAAATAATCTCACCAGAGACTTCAGACTTGCAAACCAGACTTGGATGTGTGAATTTGTCTAAGCATGCTTAAACTATCATGTATTCGTAATAAATCAAAATAGTTTAGAATATAAAACAAACCTCAAAAGAAAAAGTTAGAATTATATATTTCTAAAAAAAAAAAATCTGACTACTAAAATCAGTGACCAAAAAGTACTTCGATTATATGAAACACAGGTCCACATCCAGCCTACATGACAAAAGATCGCAAGGAACGTTCCCTAAGACATCTTCCTCTCCAAAAAAATGTCTGATTAAAATCATACAGAAATAGGAAAATTGCAGAGCATAATCTTCCTCAACCAGACTCAACAGAGCAATGTGGAATCATTACCAAAGCTATCAATGGCACAAGTTGTTCAACAAGACGTCAAAAGTTCAGAGCAAGTAGGTTGCAGGAGAGACACTTAGGCACAGCCACAAAGAGGGAATAGATATCAACAAACTTAGCCACAATCGTGAAAAGTTCAGTAAATCAACTGAGCAAGAATCAACTATCTAAGCTATATGCGGCTTTATACTATATCAGTCAACAAGGCAAAAAAATAAAAGGTATCTTTGACAAAAATAATGGAATATGTTCCACAAATATGAACACCATATATGCTAATGCACCAAGCCACCAACAAGAAGCAAAAGTACGTACACTGCATAGAACATCCATACCTCGCAAATTATGACCTATTCATCTATGATATTTGACACTTAAAACCAAAGTTAAGGACAGAAAGTAATGTCAACCAAAAGAATTTGACAATAAAACTAGAACACAGAGATTTCAAGAATAATTGGTAAGTTACTTAACTTACTAAAGAGAGAGTCATAATTCAAAATTAAGTAAAACCTATCTATCTGCAATGAAAACTAGTATAAGCCTAAATCTTGAGAATAGCATTCCGGACATTCCAGCAACATTTGGTAGCAAGAAAAATGGGATGGGAAAAGGTTCTTCAGAAATAGAAGTTTCAATGCTTTGGTCTCTACATGTACATGAGTCAATGCATATGTTGCGAAAGCAAGAGTGAGAGAGAGAGAGACCTACTCTCATCTTGTCTGTTGCAGGTTTCACTCCTCATCACTATCATAAACAACTGCCATGCGACGATGAGTTGGAGCTTTTCTAGGAGGTGAGTCCTCATCAGACTCAATTCCCTTTCGCTTAATGCTGCCAACAGACTCCTTCAACTTTTGCCTAGGTTCCTGCAAAGATAACCAATAAAACAAAATTTACAAAATTCTTAAGACTATAATCGATGAGGAAAAATTATTGCCCAGTTTACATGTCATTACGTGTCATGCTGATGCATAACAAGAAGGTATTATTTCCTCTAAAAGAAGCAAAAATAAGGAGGATGGGCGTGGAACAACTAAACCAACACAAATATAGAAACATCCATTACTGATAAAAGACAAATTAAAATGTTTAGATCTTTTGATCATGTTCTGCTGCATATATGCTCCATTTTAAGGACATTGATGAAATCTAATCGATATTCACCATTTTCCAATCCAATCACAGACATTTAAATATCACCAAACAAACTTAGATACCCGTGGTAGCACTTTCAGATACCCCAGCAAAGTCCAACCTCCCAGCCATGTTAAATGCTGATCCTTACAAAAATTTCACCCTTCCACTAAAAACAGTAATTGGCACCACTACAGTTGTATTAAAGGGCAACAGAGACATATCAAATTGTAGTATCTCCAAATAAGCCTTTCCATGCAAGCACATATAAATATACACAAAGTCATTAATCACATATAAAAAATCTAAAGAGACTTTTCCAATAGCATCATTTCTGAAAGCCTGAAGAAAAACCTCATCTTTAAAGGAATATATATCATTCAGCAAGAAAACATAATGCACTCATTCAGACTGATAGGAAGCACAAGAAAATATTCTTTCAAACTTCGAAGTATGGATATCCAATCCATGTCCTTTTTTTGACCATATCCAATCCAATCCACGTCATATGTGGGAAGAAAAATGATAGATTATAACCATCAGAATAATTAGGCACATTAACATATCCCTAAAATTAATCAGCAAAGTGAATTGTGGAACCAACAGTTCACACAAGTACAGGCTATTTGAACATTTTTAGTCATTCATTTAGAGGAGCTATCTAATCGGTAACCTTTTAAGAATCATGGAGTACTGATACTTAAGGCATAGAGAAATCACTTGTGCTATATATACAGGAATGAAAAGCACCATCTGAAATGCCTTTCAGATATGGCACATGAATTTTATGCTCAAACATAACGCATGGAGAACTTGTTGAAGATAAAAGAAAATTATAAATAAATACCTCTGCTTCCTCTTCCTCATCTGAGGCTATCTTATTGTTAGCATCAACCTCTTCATAGCGCTCTTCCTCTTCCTCTTCTTCTGATTCTTCATATTCTGGCTCTTCATCCTCAATCCTATTGCGTGGAGATCTATCATCTTCCTCCCCTTCAGTTTCATACTCAGACTCCTCTCTGTCACTTTCAGAGAAATTACTAGGCCGCCGAGATGATTTAAAATCTTGCAAGGATGACTTGCGAGGGATGTCCCTATAACTCTGTGACTGGTAACCACAAAATGTAAAAATAAAAACATCTTAGTAACAAGTTGCAACAAGGACTTTTCCCTAGGAGTAACAGTGAAAATACCTTCTTGGCATTCATAATGCGTTTTTCTGCCCGAGCTTCTACTTCCAGGTCTTCCTCAAAGCGGCGACGAGAGCGACGAGAATCATTATAATCCATTTCATCATCCTGATAAAATCAACATATGTTATTCAGTTTACAAAGTATGAATGGAGGATATGTAAAAGGTACAGTTAAACATGCTCACAAATTGAAGACTAGGGCCAGTTCAGTAAAAGAAATAAGAGAGACAATCATCCTAATAAGCAATAAAGGAACATAAAGTATCAAATATTAGTATTCCAATATGGTTAACAGGTAAGGCAAAATGCAGACCTCATCAAGAGCACCCTCCAAATACCCAGTTGAAAGTTGACGTTTTCTTTCTACAGTTTGTGTATACTTTCGGTTCACCTTTTCTCTCTTACGATTCAGAAGCACGTTAGCTCTGATTGTTTGATTTTCAGCCTGAAAATCATAAGAAAAAGAAAATTGAAAATTCATGTCAATAAGAAACAACCTCACACAATTTAACAATAAGCAACTAATTACCTTCTCTTTTTCCTCCTTTTCCCTCTCAGGATCAATGTCAGTAATGCAATTCTTAACCTTATAGACTTTTTTATGACGTGAATCAACGAGAGCAGTCAATAGCCGATGAGAATTTGATGACAATGATGAAGGCATAAATCTCATTTTACTTAAAATTCTTCCTTGAGATTGAAGAATTCCCTGCAATTACCACAATTAAAACAGTTTCCAAGTCCAGTTCAGATTTATGCATTTCCACAGAAACGATAATATAATAACAGAAACAGCAATAGCCTCAAAAATGAGAATGTTAAATGAGAATTTTTGATAGAGCCAGCCTTAGAAGTGAAACTCAAAACCAACTACCAATACAATAAATTGCATCAAATGAGCACACGATAGCCCAAAATGAAGGTTTGGAGGTCATTTTCTATTCCTAGCCTACCAAATCAAATCCAAAATTGCAGCAACCTTCTCCAAACAATGATAGATGCTATTATAGGAACTGCAATAGCATGTAGGTGGAAGTTGACTATAAAACTTTCATCCCCCCTTTTTCCCCTGCCAAATATTTACACACACACACACACACACACACACACACAGACATACATCATCACATGTATCATACTCAAAGAATGAAACTAAAAAAATATGCATCTCAACCTCAGTACAGCAGTTCCTATTGAACTATTAGCAATATGTATAATAGAAGTCCATATGCCAATTGATAGGACATTGTCAAAAAGAACGATACCAAAGACCATATATTTCATGTCTAAGACAATGTCCAGATAGAAATAACAGTGGCATTTCAATATGCCACATTCTTTTACTTCTTCATATTTAAATCATTCCATATTAATTAGTGAACCTTTGGTTCTAGAATCCGTGAGGCTTTTCAAGCAACTTAGTATAAGAGGTCAGCAGCTGTAACAAGAGGCCCGTTAAAATTGACAAATATGAGCTTATGGATCATTAGATGCACAGAAATCACATACAAATCACCCTCAGATACCAATGCGGAACTTTCTTTTTTATTTTATCCAATTTATGACAAAAAAACAGGGAATATAATAACAGCAAAAGAAGTGAATAAGAACAATCTTAATGTATGAACTTGAAGATTTTATTGATCCATTTCACACCTAGGCAGCTTTGGCTATGAAAAAAAGGAAATAAAAGAGTTAAGATATTATATACTTAAATAAACCATGCCAAACAGGGGGGAAAAGGCCACCTTTCCATGTCTGAGAAAAAGGTGTGATTGATCATGCTGCGCCTCTTGTACAGATATGTCAAGAACTTCATTGCCAATTAACAACTGTAAACTGCCATCTGACCATCTCACAAAGCGTGCATTGCTTTCATACTACATACAACAAGAGGAAATATGAGAAGCCCTGATTGGTTAAGAAATAAAAAAATAATAATAATAAAGAAATTAACAGATTGATAACAGATCATAGTGGAAATTAACAGCAAATAGAGTTGTTAAGAAAAGAAATCTAACTATTGTGGTGGCAAACAATCACCCTACTCACTAGGTCTTTAATGAATTTGTAAACATCCCAAACTTACAGAACATACATGCAATAAATAGATCCACGTTCTTTCCAACATGCTCAAATCAAATCATTGAAAAAAAGGGGTAGGTAGAAGAAATTTACTCACTGATGTTGTGCCATCTTTGTTTCTGATAGTCCTCCAACGCACAATATTGTTTTCCAACCTTATACGTTTTTTTGAGCCAGACTCATCAGTCACAAATGTATCCTCTTCCACATATGTCTTGGGATCAAATGGTTTTGGGTCAATGCCCATAATATTAGAAACTTTGATCATGTTCATCTGCAAAAGAGTAACTAAAGTATAAACTATGGCCTCAAGTCAAAATGCGGTCAACTCAACTGCTTAAAGTAACAAATGACCCTCACAACGGCCAAATGCAAATGGCATAATATACCAAAAAAGTTATTAAATAGTGAAACTACTTCCAAAATATCACTAAAAACAACAAGAAAGCACCCTTTACATGATGTTAGGTTAGAATCTTTTCAAGAGAAGGGGGGGGGGGGCATGAGAAGAAGATCAACCTTTGTTGGATGAGCTGGACCTGGGCGCAATGGAACCTCTAGCTCCAACGGGGGGCCAACTGGCTTCTCTTTTTGTTTCACCTCAACATGCTCATCATCTGACTCATAATGAACATCTTCATCATGCACCATATCTTCAGGTCTTGGACTCTTCCCATAGCTCTCTTCCTCTTCCATAGGAGATCTCTAAGGGACAAAAGCCATTTACATCATCCTTTTAACTATGACAGCATGTCAACCAGAAAGTACTATTAATGCAAAAATAAGAACCATATTGCTTTTGACATTTGATACTCACATTTTCGTCTTGCTCCATTTCATGTCGAACTGCATATTCTGCAGCTTCTTCATCATCAGAATCACCAAATACATCACGAATTTCAGCAGCAGAATGTGAAAGATGAGTCTGATCCTTCTCCTCCCCCGGTGATTTACTGCCATTAAGCCAAGTTTCCCACAATAGAAAGTACAGCTCATTACAAACAAGAATATATCCATGGAATCACTATTATATAACATTGTGCATCAATTTATTTCTTTTTAGTTTTGGCAAAAATACTTACCATCTGCACTTTAGAAAACTTGTAATACAATGTCAGAGTACAATGGGGCATATAGCTAACCAGGAAAAAAATATATAGGGGTGCAATAAGAAAGAAAAACGAGACACAAAGAGACAAAAGCACGGCTTGAGACTGAGTGAGAGAGAACAAGCAGGTTACCTTGGACTTCTAGCTTGATCAACCTCCTCATCTTCATTATCAGGATAATGGTTTTCCTCAGACCTCTCTGACTCACTTTCAATCACTTCCCTTCTCCGGCTAGTCACAACCCTCTGACCATATTCTTCTTTTTCATCACTATCAGTATCTTTTGCCTCACTTTCTTCCCTTTGATCGCCAATGTCAACTTCTTGGGAACTTTGTTCTCTTTCACCCTCACTTTCTCCAGGATCAGGTTCTACATCACGTATGTCACCATCACTCTCGACTTCTGCCTCACCATGCCCTTCCACTTCAGCTTCACCTTCACCCTCAGCCTCCATGGCACCCTCAGCTTCATCCTATATACAAAATCATCCAACAGGTTAACTTCAAGCAATTCTTCTTCTAATTAAGCACCAAAAACATAGATAACTTCACACTAGCAGCAAACATCTAAGCAAACTAGGATTAACTATTCCAAGGCTATTTTAGGTCTTTCTTTTATTCAGATATTTTAACCTGGAGAAAAGGAGAAATTCATAACGGGTAAGAACATCAATTTATCACTTTCTAAAACGCTATTATTTTCTAGATATTTTGACCAAAAGGATAGCTCCTAATAATGGCATACATCTAGGCAAACTAGGACCAACTACACTGGAGCTTTATTAATTCACTTTCATCCATAAAAAGGGCATAAAACTGGTATAAAATATCAATTAATCATATTCTAAACTATAATTTACTTAGAACAAAATCCATCTCCGAGTTAATTGTATCAGGCGTACTTGCCCCCTATTAAGAATGATTTCAGAATTACATTGGTATGAAAAAAATATGAATTTCCATAATCAACCGTTAACTAATTCGGGTCAAACTTCAGGGAAAAAATTGGCAAAAGAAAAAGATAAAATGAGCCGCTATACATAATTGTCAAAAGATCAATTTGCAGCTTTAGATGAACCAAAATACAGAAAATCAGCCATCGAGCCTAAGCTTTGCATTATCCAAACAAAATCAGTCGAAAAAGATTAGCGTTAACAATCAGGCTAAAATTCGTCCTCTAAATAACAAAATTCTTCCAACCAAATCAATCACTTAGTCGCAAAACTTAAACAAAACAATTAGTATTTAATTAACATTTTAAAAAAGTAAATAATTATCAAACAATATAGCACCGAGCTTGGGAAAAAAAATAAAACCTAAAGATTAAAAAAAAGAAAAAAAATTACGGAAGCGTAATTAGGGTGAGGGTTGGATTCGTGTTCGGAATCGATCTCTTCCTCTTCCTCCGACTGATCGCCGAAGAGATTTTGCATCATCTGGTGCCGCTTCTCCTCTCCCATCGCTCTTTTCTTTCTCCTTTTCCCTCTTTCTCTCTTTCTCTCTCTCTGGCTGATTGAATTGAATGGCTTCCTACTAAAAGGGGAAGCTCCTCTCTTCCTCGCTCGACATCTTGTACTATTTATTTTATTGTATTTTAATTTAATTTTGCGTAATAACAACAGATCTGCTGCATTTTGTAGCCCCCGGTTTCGGCTTATGTTTTACAACCCGCTTCTTTGACACGTCATTCTCTCTTCGGGTGCCAACGGCCCATGGTGCATGGGTCCCTCTCCCACTTATTAGTCGGGTTGTTTTTACAGGGTGAATTAATTTTAAATAATTACAAAATTTTGAAATTAAAAATAAGTTTGTAAAAAAATTTTAAAAGTATATTGATATTTTATTAATTAAAAAAATTAAAATATTTTTAAAATAAAAAGATTTTTATCTCGAGAAAAGCGGACAGATTTTTTAATTACAACGAAAAAAATGTAGAAGTTCTTTGATAATAATTTTCATCTTTGAACAAATTTTTTGATAGGATTATATGTTGATCATCGTGGTTTGGGTTTTAATTTGTATTTTAACATTACATTGTTAGATATCTTTCCTCTTTTATAAACTTCTTTTTAGTTGTCGTAAATTATTATATATATTTTTTAATTTGATAATATGTGTATTTATTTTTTATAAAATATTAATATAATATTTACAAAAAAATTATATATCATAATTTATATTAACATAAAAATATTAAATATATATTTTTTATTTTATTAAATTTATATATAATTTTTTATTAAAATCTTAAATTATATTATTTTTATATCTTTTATATAATTCTCATATTATACCATTATATTATATTTTATATAAACAATTATAATATTTTTATGCTAATTGACAATCAAGATAGTTTAATCAATATAAGTCCTAAGACTAACAAAACTATTAATATCATCCTGTACAAAATCAACTATGAGAGCCAGAAATTTGGAGAATTGAAAATTGTCACAAAATGCCCATCGTGCCAAGAATTCAGCGTAGAATTTTGCCTCTTCGACAGCCATGTACTATTAAATAGTGCCAATCTCTGTTTAACAACAGTTATTTATGTTTTGAGATCAAGTTTTATTTATTATTATTGTTAAAATCATTTTAAATACATAATTTATAATTATTTATTTTTAATTATTAAATACGATATATTTTATTTTAATTTAAATATTAAATAATTTATTTATCTCAAATTTTTATAAAAAAAACAATTATTTATAAGTGAAAATTATTTCTTTTAATAACTTTGTAAAGCAAATAATCTAGAATCAAGTTCACAATCAAGTTTTGTTATAATCATGTCCTTTGTTCTTCTTATATTCAAATACTTTATTATAAGAAAACTATTGCTTATGATATCAAAAATTAGTTTTTTCCTAGTTGGTTGTATTTAAAATTATTTTTTTTATATTCCTGTTTTTGAAATTAAATTATAATAGCGAAAATTTTTTATATAAAACTACATATCTACGTAAAATGTAAATAAAATATTCAATTTTGGATAAATTTTATCCGTGGTCCCAAATATTTAATTTTGATTTCAGTTCAGTCCTTATCATCTGAATTATTCTATGTGAATTTTTAACGTTTTAATTTTTTTTGTATTTTAATCATTTTGTCCATTAAAAATTGAGAAAAATGTTTGCATGATATCCAATTGATTTGCCACATAAGCTACAACATGGAAGGATCAAAATAAATCATTTTAAAAATGTAGGCTCCAAATAAATAACTTAGAGAATAAATTGGGTCCAGAATAAAAAAATAATAGAGAGCATGGAATTTGCCAATTCAATTTGGGATTAAAAAAAGCATGATGGATTTTACGCAGATCAGACGGCCAAATCCTAAACATCTTCAAGCGTGGGCACCACCGATTTGTTCCCACATGTCCGATTTTCCTTGCAGGACCACCAAATTACTTCTCTACCCTCACCCACCCTTTCACTCCCAATTTCCCAAACATGCTCCTTCCTCCTTCCTTCAACCTATTCCGTTTCAGCTCGACTCCAAACCTCACCTTCGGATCCGAACCTCATTTTTGTTGCTCTGTTCGTTGAAATTTTCGCACTATTTCGATCATTTTCTCTCTCTTTGAGCCAAAAAAAAAAAAAAAACCCCATTTTTCTCTCTCAAAATCTCATTCGGATTCAAACCCTAAGTTTTTTTTTTTTTAAAATTTGCCACTCTTCAAGGATCGATTTTTCGAGCTCCATTTCAAAGGCTTCTTTACGTCACTGTAAGTTCACTTCTCCTCTTTCTTTCTCTAGAAACCCTAATGTCTTTTTCTTTCTGTTTCTCCCACTGTATAAATCTTTTTTTCTTTTTTAAATTTTGAGACGCTGAATTTATGCTAGGGCTTTGGTATTCTAGGTTTGGGCAGTTGTATTATTTATATTATCGTTTTATTTAGGAACGGGAATTGCTTGATGTCTTTTCGATCTTTTGTGGTCTTGGTTATAAATGTGAGATTCTTACGTAATTTTTGAGTTTTAGACTCTGTTTGGCTGCCGAGAAAATGGAGGATGCCGGGGGTCTTTTTTCGTGAGGAATTGCAAATTTTAAATTGAGCCAAAGTTATAGTAGTTCTTTTCTTCCTGCTCATTGGAAGGTTATAAGCATTTTCATGCAAATCTTTTCGTTTTAATCTTTAATTTTGTTTCCTACATTTCTCATTGATAGTGGACTTATGTTTGTGCTTCATATGTGGTAGTTGCTTTGGTTGCTTCTTGAGTGTCTCTTTTCTTTTTGTGATATTTGGAGTTCGTTGAGCTTGATATGTCAGCCTTTGATGGTTTTTTGTTTGTTTTTGTTAATGGGAGTTAGCCTCTTCCTTTTCACTTGGTTTTGTTACTAGCTTTTTATTGTCCGTACTTTTTATTCTCGTGTGTGTGTGTGTGTGTGTATATATATATATCTGAATTTTATGTGATTTAGTGAATCGACCTTGATTAAGTTTCACCGATGTGAGGTTTCTGTTTAATGTTGATTAATGAGGATGCTACATAAATTGACAAGAAAACAAAGAAAAATAGTGCCAATAGATTGCTCTAGTGAGAACATAAGAAACTTTAAATATTAGGTTGTGGTCCAACAACTTGCCACTTATGAAGAATTCACTGTACGCTCCTGTTTGTATGCTGTGGAATCTTGTATAGGGGCCGAATGTGTTTAAGAACAATTTATATCCATTATCTTTTCTCTTTATTCTTCCTTGGTTGGGTTGAGATATTGTGTTAAGAATGCAAGGGATCCTGGCTTGACAAAAGTCTAAATGGAACTAAAAACATTTGTGACGTTTCTGGTTGACATAGTAGTTAAGTGGAGGAGGATGTCAAGCTTTATGAGTTTATGTTGTATTAGAATTTTATATTGATTGCAAAAGGACTGAAGGTTCTATATGAAAAAGCTTGTGTGGTTATTCACTTTGTTGTCTACTCTGTGGATAATGTGTGGTTATTCACCTTCGCTGGGTGAGCTTTCTTTGCTGGGTTCTTCTTGCTTCATACAGGAATTACATTTCCGTCTCTTTTTGTCTTAGTAAATGGTTCACGAGATCCTCATTGTCCCTTTCCTTCTATAACTCTGTGGTGAGGCCTAGACGGAAATTGATAGACTTTTGGCACAAATAGACCTTGTTTTCTTGGTTGGTACCCAAAATGTTGTATTATGGTGGGAGCTTATGATGCAGTGGTTCATGGAAGCTCTTATTGCTTGCACTTAAGCATCGCTGTTCTATCTAGATACTTAGGTTCTTAGCTTGAGTTGTCTGGGAGTTGGAAGTTCATATTGCAATTAAGAACGAGCTACCCTTCAATAGCTAATCAATGTTTTAACTTTTGGTCCCTGTATTTAAGAACTGGATTCTCATTTGTAATCTGATTATCTCCATACCCATGGAGTTGTAAATATTAGAAATATTAGAAGTTCATATTGCAATTAAGAACGAGCTACCCTTCAATAGCTGATCAATGTTTTAGCTTTTGGTCCCTGTATTTAAGAACTGGATTCTCATTTGTAATCTGATTATCTCCGTACCCATGGAGTTGTAAATATTAGAAATATTAGAAGTTCATATTGCAATTAAGAACGAGCTACCCTTCAATAGCTGATCAATGTTTTAGCTTTTGGTCCCTGTATTTAAGAACTGGATTCTCATTTGTAATCCGATTATCTCTGTACCCATGGAGTTGTAAATATTAGAAATTTTAAGAGTTAGCTGGGCATAAAGTTAATGCCTGCCTTGGAGAAATTTCTTCTAACCATATAGATGGGCTTCAATGTCGAAAGCTTGGAGACTGAAAGTTTTCGGTTAAGGTTTCATACCTATCTATTTTACATCTAAATTTGGGTGATGCAAAAATTTCAGAGGGGATGTAAATGCACCCTTTTCTTTGGGAATCGTAAGATGAGAAGTCATAATTTTTATTTATGGAAGATGCTTGGGATTTGGGAATGATCCATGGAGTAGAATTTGAAAAGATAATTGCTCAAAGAAGGAACCTTCTTAAACTACATTATCTGGATGCAGTATTCAGGGTTTATGGTATGATACAAGAAAATGGGAGATATTATGTTTCTATTGGAGGACGAACCTTTTAAACAACATTATTGTGATGAATTATTGATGATCTATAAGTTTCAAACAAGTGAATGGAAGTTATTGTATTATTGTTGTTGTTGTTGTTATTATGGCACCTCTTGTTTCTTGGGTTCTAGGTGAAGGAAAAAATATGTACTTCAAAAATTGTTGTTTTGTTAGGAAAGGGAAAAAATGAATGTTAGTAAAATATGGCTTTAAGAAATATCATGATATGTTGTACCCAAGAAGTTGTATTGAAGCATATTAGGTTACTGGGTGATGCCGTTTTTTCATTTGTTTCTGGGTACCCCTTTTTTGACATTTTTGTACTTGTCGCCAACCCTTCCTTATACCAAATGAAGAAAGGAAAAGTCAAACAATTCTCATTCTGGGATAGTTGCTTTAACTTTGTTTCCATGAAGGGATGATATGTTGGATTTTATTCATGCAGGATAAGGTTGAGTTTTGAAATGCAGCAACTGGGGTGAATGTTTAAATGTACAGAAGAGGTTTGTTTCTAATTATGATTGGATTTAAAGAGGGACTGATATGACTGTGTGCTCTGTAATGGAATTGCAGGCATGTAAAAACTTTACTTAATTCTTATTTCTTGTAGGTAGTAATTTTCTTCTCACAAAATTTAGTTGCTGAATATTTTGGCTTGGATTATCTATGCCTGGCAACGAAGTTGGAGACAGAATCCATAATTTCCTTGGCCAAGAGAGATTGTCCCAGGGCCAGCATCACACGCAGGTCATTGATGGTACCTGGCCTGGCTTAAATAACAATCTGTGGGTTGGAAGCCAGAGACAAGTTGGTAGTTCCCTTGTTCCCAGTTTGAAGAATTTCAGTGTACATCAGTTAGGTAATAATTAAGACATCTTGATTGTTTAGTTTTACTTGCTTCTGTTACTACAATTTCAGTAATGTGATTTTAGTGCATTGTTTTGACATGCTTCTAGACCAATGTTTAGTTAACATGATTATATTTTCTTTTTGACATTAGCTGAGCCTGACAGAGGACATAGTAGTCTGTCTTCAAGCCTGCTGCATGGCCTGAACTACACTCAATCAGGTTTGAGGCCTGAAATTGCCAGAAGTCAATCACAAAACCAATCACCAATTGTAAATGGCTATATGCAAGGGCATCAGGCTGTCCAGACAAGGCAGAATGAAACCAACTTTTTGGGAGTGGATACAGCATCTAGAGGCTTATCAGCTCTCGATGTGATAGGGAATGGCCCTGATCTTCATAAGGAAAATTCATTGATGTTGGAATCTACTGAATCTCCAGTAAATTATGATTTTTTTGGTGGGCAACAGCAAATTAGTGGACAGCATCCTGGCATGATCCAGCCTTTGCCAAGGCAGGAAGCAGGGATGACTGACATGCTGCTGTTACAGCAACATGCCATGCTTAAGCAAATGCAAGAATTACAGAGGCAACAACTTCCGAAGCCACAGTTTCAGTCACCAGAAGCAAGGCAATTGAACTCCTCAAATCAGGTTTCCTCTGTTGTAAAACAGGGATCAGGTAGCCTTTCTCCAGCTTCAATCAAAGGTGTGCCTGTCCATGATGCTTCAAATTATTCCTGGCAGCCTGAGCACACGACACCAAATGCAAATTGGTTGCAGCATGGTGCCTGTCCAGCCATGCAGGGATCCTCTAGTGGATTTATGTTTTCCCCTGAGCAAGGTCAGGTGCGTTTGATTGATTTGGTTCCTCAACAGGTTGATCAATCATTTTATGGGATCTCTACCAGTGGTGCAAGAGGAAATCCATATGAATATTCATCTGTACAAATGGATAGGCCTTCAATGCAGCAGGTGGAAGCCAGCAGTAATTCCTTTCCAGGTAATCAGTATGCTATGTTTCCAGATCAAGTTATCTTGCAAGATGGATCTTTGGTTTCTAAACAGGGTGATCAGGATAAAAATGTGTTTGGTGCTGCGGCTGGTCAAGGTTTAAATAGTGGATTTCATTCAGAAAACTTGGAGCAAATGATTATCCAACCAAAAAATTCAGTGATGCAGGAGTCTCGTGGGAGGCAAGGACTTCCTGGTCCATCAGAAATATCCCTGGAGAAGTCAGTGATTCAGGCAGCCCCCCCTCAGACTGTGGCTACACTAGATCCAACTGAAGAAAAAATTTTGTTTGGTTCAGATGACAGTTTATGGGATATCTTTGGAAGGAGTGCCAACATGGGCTCAGTGTTGGATGGTACAGACACTTTAGGGGCGTTTCCTTCACTGCAAAGTGGAAGTTGGAGTGCTCTTATGCAGTCTGCTGTAGCAGAAACATCTAGTAACAATATAGGGATGCAGGAAGAGTGGAGTGGTTTAGGCATGCAGAATAGTGAACCTCCAAGTGGTAAAATGCCATCATCAATTGTCAATGATGGCAGCAAACAGAAATCAGCTTGGGCTGACAACAACTTGCCGACTGCCTCGACACTGAACTCTAAACATTTTCCCATGTCTACCGATGCCAATATCAATCTTGACTTTTATAGTGTTCCTGGCGTTCAGCAATCAGGAGTCCAGACTGCAAATGAACAGACCAGGAAAATGCATAATGATTCATCTCAGAGATTTGTTAAACAGTTAACGGAAGAAAGAAGCAAATGGTTAGATCCCAGTCCTAGACAAAAGCCTGTAGCTGAAAGTGCTCAACTCTTTGGAAATGTTGCTCACTCTCCCGATCTGCAAGTAAGTGCAAAGAGCATTTCGGGTAACCAACAATGTATGACCATGTATAGTCCTCATGGTCGGCCACACAATAAACCAAATGGTTGGAACTTCATTGATTCTGCATCACATAGTGGTGGTGCCAAATCAAACAGTCAGGATATTGAAAGCTCCTTGCAGACTTCTCAGAATAGTGATCAGAAGGGTGCTGTGTATGAGGGGAGAGGTCATGGTTCTGGTCTTGATCTACCTGTTCCTGATACAAATATTGAATCAGGGCACATGAATTCTGGTTTAGGTAGCCCACAGGTGAATAGGCAAGGTTATGATCTGGATAATGTTGCAGATTCGAGAACCACAAGGGTCACCAATGAAAGTAGCCAGCAACTTCCAAACAGTCATAATCTTAATCTCTGGAAAAGTATTGATTCTAAAGTTAACTCTGGACTACGCAGTGTTCCAGCAAAATATCAGCAAAATCAGGACAAGAGCCCTCAAACTTTTGATTCATCTGGAAATAATTGCTTAAACAGGGGAGCATCTGAAGCAAATATGTTGGATAATCCCAATGTCAAAGAAACTTCTAATGACAGTTTTCACTCTAACTTACTCCAACGGACTTCCACTGGTGGCATGAGAGACAATGTCTGGCTGGATGCAAATGATTCACGAGGAGGAAAACAGAAGTCATCGGCTCATATTAGTCGTAAACCTTCTGGGGCCCGTAAATTTCAGTATCATCCTATGGGCGATTTTGATGTGGAGGTTGAACCTTCTTATGGAACTAAAAGTGTCACACATTCACAGGCAACATCCCAACATGTTTCTCAAGGATTGAAAGGTCATGACCAAGGATATTTTGGGCAGTCAAAATTTACTGGTCATGCTACTGGGGAGTCTACAGAAGTTGAGAAGGTTATTTTCTTTGTTTGGCCAATATGTAAATAGTGTGCAATTGGCTATTCTTTTTCTCTCTGTCCTCTTTAGCCCATCTGAATTTTACTTTATTTTTTAGAATAAGATTAGCCTTTGGAAGACTAAACGTTTGTTTATTAACTTTCTTCTTCTGTATATTAGGGTCATTTTCCTGGCCTTCAAGTAGACGCGGTACCTTCACAAAGCTCAAATCCTGGTTCTGCACCTGACAGATCTTTTGGTGGTTTTGTGCCGAACAAGACAGCTCCAACAAGGTAGGTGAATATTTGCAGTTCTCCATTTCTACCTTGACCTGAATTTGTGGCTTTTCTCAAATTTTATTGTTGATGTAAACTTAGCAATAAAAAATTCTTTTGCTGATACAAAAAACTTTTGGGTTGTTAAAACTATGATAGTAAAAACTTACCATCATCATATTGATATTTTAAATCTGAGTTTTATTTGGTAATCCTGACACTTGTGCTTTCCTATTTATTATTTTTGTGCTGGTTTTCTTGTTCACTTTTTATTGTGTCTGAATATTCCCAATTTTTGCAGTCAAAATATGCTGGAGCTTTTTCAAAAGGTCAATCAGCCAAGGGAACATGGTACTGCAACACACTTAAGCTCTTCTGAATGCAATCAATCATCTGAAATGCCAGATGCAGAAACTTCTGATGGATCAGTGGGCCAGTTTCAGCATAATAGGCCAATTGCTTCCCAAGGTTTTGGTTTACAACTAGGTCCCCCATCTCAAAGGTTTACCATTCCAGATCGTGCAATTTCATCACAGAGTTCCCCGCAAGGAGTTAGTTCTCTAAACTCAGTTCATATCTCTTCTGAGGTAGGAAGGAAGGGTCATACATGGTTGGGTCCAACTGCTTCTGTTCAGACTTCAACTCATGGAGCATCCCATGGAGATATTAGGAATAATGTTTCAAGTGTCTCTGGTCAAACTATCAATAAAGCCTCACAATATAATATCCAGGGCAATGTTTCTGCAGGTTTTACCTCAGATTATCCTTATTTAAAAGGTCATCTCCAAAGCCAGCATGTTACTGGTGTGCATAGTCAAGTAACACCAAATGAATCTGTCAGTGCACCTGTTGGTGGTTTGGCATCTCAGTTGAAGCAGATCAATGACTCCTCTGAGAGAGCTCAACCTAGTCAATTGGGAAGGAAAGCAGCACCTCGCATGTCCAAAACTGCTCCAGATAATGACCTTGCTTCTTCAGAGGCTTCTTGGCCGAGTAGTAGCAACCTAAACCATGCAAGGAATCCTGGCCAGCAGTTTCCAGTGTTAGAGGCTATGCCAGCTTCTGAACCTTCTACTACATCTGAATCTTCACAGCAAGGTGCTTTTAATGTATGGACAACTGTCTCAGCCCCACAACATCTATTAGGAGCTCAGTCTTCTCAGGCCTCACAAAATTTGTTTAAACCCAATCATCAGTTACATATTAACTCAGAAACAACTCATCCTGGAACAAAGAGGCTTGATGATCAAATTGCCCGGGCAGGAGGTAGTGGCCAATCTGAGTTCCCTGCAGGCTCCGCTAAACCACAAAGATTTCTTGGAGAAGAGCAACCATCAAAAGCCCAGCAGGTATTTTCAGAGAATGATGCCTGCCAAAATTCTTCAACTATGCAAGGAGACATTGAAGCTTTTGGTCGTTCATTAAGACCAAATAATGCTTTAAATCAGAACTATTCATTATTGCATCAGGTGCAGGCCATGAAAAATATAGAGATTGATCCAAGTAATAGGAGTGTCAAAAGATTTAAAGGCCCAGACTCTGGTTTGGATGCTGAGCAGGTAGGTTCCCAAAGCGCAGAGCAATTATCTTATGGATCTGATACTATGATGAGAGATGCCGCAGTTAACCATACGTTAGTTCCTTCCGGAGATTCTAAGATGCTAAGCTTTTCATCAAACACTGGAGATAACAATGAGATGCAGTTATCTTCTAATGATATGCTGGCATTTTCTCAGAATGATTCCCAGCATTTCCCCAATGCTAATAATTCAGCTACTAATCTCAGGGGTGAACACTCTCAGGTCAGTCCCCAGATTGCTCCATCCTGGTTTGATCGGTATGGGACGTTTAAAAATGGGCAAATGTTGCCTATATACGATGCTCGGAAACTTGCCATGATGAAGGCTACAGAAAAAGCATTCATTGTTGGTAGGCCTTCTGAAAGTTTGCATGCTCTTCCTTCAAGTGAGCAGGTTAATGCTGCTGCTAATGCTAGTGTGCTGGGTAATGCCCAGCAAAGCTCAAACCTCATGCCCATAGGAAGCGATCATATCTCCCCTCATTCGCTGGGTCCTGATATCACAAATCATAATTTGGTTGTTGTAAGAACAAAGAAGCGTAAAAGTATGACATTTGAGCTTCTACCATGGCATAGAGAAGTGACACAGGGTTCTCAAAGGCCTCAGAAGATGAGGTATTTGAAATATATGTCCCATTGGCTGCAATTACTTTTAAAAGTACATATGTCAATGACCAAAAGCACTAAAACATCTCCCAATAATAAGTCGCTAATATGCAAAAATCAGTTGCTCTCTTCTCTCACTAGTGTTATGTGTTTCCTCTTTTTTTGGAATTATATTGAAGTTTTCTGTTGATCACAGTGTGGCAGAAGTGGACTGGGCGCATGCATCAAATCGATTGATTGAGAAGGTGTGTTCAATGTTCAACTGTTTTACTTGGATCTTATATTATTCCTTCTTAGAATCTCTGACAGTTCTCAGATTAAGGACACTGATCTCAATCGCAGGTTGAAGATGAACCTGAAATGATTGAGGAATGGCCGCCAGTACTTAGATCAAAAAGAAGGCTTATGTTGACAACGCAGCTTATGCAGCAACTACTTTGTGCTCCTCAAAGAGTAGTTCTTTCCACGGATGCAGGCAAAAACTATGAGACTGTAGCCTATTTTGTAGCCAGATCAGTCTTAGGAGATGCATGCAGCACAGCACATATACCTGAAAGTGATACTGCTGTTCTTCCTGACAGTGGAAGCATGTAAGAACATGTTAATTTTTTTTTTTTTTTGAAATCCTTGAATAATGTTTTTACTGGCTTTCATCTTGGGGCATTGTTGTTAGTCAGATCTACTATCTTACTAATTATTTTGTCAATTTGCTTTTAGCCTTTCTGAAAAGATTAAGGAGACAAATGAGTCTATCTTAAAGGCTGCAGAAGAGTTTATCATCAGAGCAAAGAAGCTGGAAAACGATTTACAGAGGTAATTCACACCTAGTTTTTAGCAATATCAATAATGCATAATATCTCTTCTGTTAATCTTTTTTAACATTGATATTGAACCTTTACATTGTTAATGAATCTTGAAGTTCAATGTTTGTGGTAAGAACTCCTCACAGACCACCATTGAGTTTAATTATATTGTTGTCCTTGGGGGTTTGAAGCTGTCATATATCAGTTAATTTATTGGTAGCAAGGCCGATATGGCTCTTTACTTGGTATTATGTTTCTTTCTATTCTTTTAGTATTTCCCCAGCACAAGCTCAATAATCCTTTGGATTTGAGATTGAGAAGCATTTTGCCTGTTGAAAGTGAAGGCTGATACATATTTCTAATGTATTATATAATTATATGTCCTCATTTTAATTAATATCATAGGAGATAATTTTTATTGGATTATAATTACTGTTCTTCTAACATGTTATCTCTAATATGTTGTTTTCTAACATGTTATGGTATGTAAAATTACTTGTTTTCTAGGATCCAATTATGGTAATGACTTGTAGATGAATACTTGGTTAACTAGGAAAATAACTTTTAAAAGCTGCAGGGCCTTAAAGGTAATCTGTGGGTGATTGTGTTGGTGGTATTTAGAGGATGCAAACTGCCATTAAGTTGCAACTTTGTTGAAAGAGTGGTTACTTCTGGTGCATTGATTTCATATACTTTAAAGAAGAATATTTTTTGCTTTGATTTGCATTTTGTTGGAAGATTTTACTCGGAGCTAGACTGTGCCTTTAGTAATTTGTTTACTTTATTTTTTTTTAGATTTTTTCTTTCCTTTGGTTGCCCAAATTTGTTTTGCCCTAAGCTCTTGACAATGATTATGCCAATTGTCTAGTCTTCAAATGTTTCCTCTTTCTTGTGCAGTCTGGACAAGAGAGCCTCAATCTTGGACTTAAGAGTGGAATGTCAGGATCTAGAGAAGTTTTCTGTCATCAATCGATTTGCCAAGTTCCATGGACGGGGGCAAGCTGACGGGGCTGAAAGCTCATCATCCTCTGATGCAATTGCTGCTTCTCACAAATTGTTCCCCCAGAGATATGTTACTGCACTACCGATGCCTAGGAATCTCCCTGATAGGGTACAATGTCTTTCACTTTGATCATTAATTAATTTATTTTCCCCTCTCTTTTGGCCATTTGTTTTCTTATCCTTCATTCTTCTCTTCTCCGTTCCAATTTCTTTCAAACTTAAAATATTGGCTCTTATGCATAACTGAACCACTTAAATGGAAATGGTAGGAGAAGAATGTCTCGTTAATAATAAGATAACGGAGGCTCTTAGATCTTTTCATTTGTAGGCCATTGACGTCATTCTTGAGAAACATATAGGTCGGTCTTTGTACACTTGTTTGCAAATGTTTAGAAGAAAGTGAGGTGAAGTGCCCCGTGATTTTTGGGTAAATGGGGAGAACAGAAGAAGCTTATTCTGATATTTCAACAGATGCATTCCATTCATAAGTAAAGGGTTTTTACTTGAACTCGAGTTTACCTTCATATAATTATTATATTTAGTAAGTTGAGTTCGGAATTCAAATTTTAATATTTATAATTTTTTTAATTTTTTCCTAGCCAATCTCTTATATGTTAAAAGGGATTTTACCCTTCTCATCTTCTCCTCTCAGACTCTCAGGGGTGCGTTTTGGGAATTGATTGGCCATGTTTACAATATAACGTGCCAAAGCCATCAGCTATAACTATAAGCAGTGAAATCTTTTAGGCTATTTCTCTGATTCTCTTTCTATATGTCAATTTCCTTCCAAGTATTTGATTTCAGTGGTTGTATCAAGAGTTGGAATCGAATGGATGTTTATCAAACGAGATGAGACCCATGCGAAAACTATTCAACTTGCTTAATCTGATGTATATTCCAAAACAAATTTTAATTTTTTTTTCTAAAATTAGAATATTTTAAAATACATATTGCTGAATTGAATTTGAAAAAAGTTCTAGTATTAGACCTCTACGTATGTTTGATGAGGCTAAAATTGGTAATGAACTTAAGCTACTAAGATCCAAAGTGATTGAAACCCATCAAGATAACCCAAAATTCGCGTAAAAAGGCTTAGGGTGACTCTTTAAGTCTTTGACGACGAGGATATGAAACAATCCAAATCTAAACCAACCGTAGTACCTGAACTTGAGTCATCCACCATCATTAGAGAAATTCAATGATATTTCTCTCAGGGCCTATTATCTTCAAGCTTTTCATGCCACATAGTCAGCTACTAATTTTTTATACTACAGGAGGAATTTACGAGAGCGAAACATGCATTTCCTCGCCAATCTCTGCAAATATTTCATCCACCCTGTAAGAAAAAAAATAAAATATCAAAACTTTCATACTAATTTTCTACTTAGTTGCATCCTAACATATATATCTAGTTGGCATGCGGAGTTCATGCATGAAAAATAAAGGAAAAGCTACTCTCAAATTCAATAATTACCTATGACCATCAATGTTCACCTCTGCAAGCCAGGTTGTAATATACACCTGCAATGAAAACTGCAAATATTATTAGCATGGTAGCTTTCATACTTGTTTATTGTAGAGATCACAAAGAAACATTTGACTCTAAAGAACGTTTTGTTCTGTGCCAGCTTATTAGAATCTAAGAAAGTGAATTCGGAACTAATCTCCTACTTGACATCGGAATGTAGCTTAACCATCATCTCCAATTATTCAAATCCACAAATGGACAAAAACAACATTCAACTTATGGTTAAACTTTAAACCATTGCTAGAAAGATCAAAGAAGGGCCAGGTCAACAAATAAAAAATGTTAAAAAAAAAAAACCATCACTAATATTCATGTAATTTAATTGTTTCAATCACTGCAGCACAAATGTGACCTTCAGAATTATAAACACACAAAAAAATATGACCTAACAAGAGAACCAAGTCACTAAATCCCTAATTCTGGATTAAGTTTTTGATTCAAGGTGGAAAGTCCTTCCATGTCTTTGGAACTTAAATTTCTCAACATTAAGAAAAAATATCTCAATATTTTGGCAAATTCACTTCTATTTACAAAGAAAAGGGCAGATCTGCAACTTCGAATTTTCGGTGTCATCATAACATTGTATAATTTATTCATGTTTAGTAGTTTAGGCAATGATTCATTGCATATTTGCCCCTCCAGCAACCAGAAAAACATTCTGTGCCCTCTTATTTGCTACTGGATGCCAAGGCACTTATGCACATTACACAACATACAACAAAAGAACATCTATAATTTTGCTAGGTTGCATTGAAGAAGTAATTATGCATCATGAAGATAGCTATTGATTTATTTGTGATGTTTTTGCTAGTGGATGCTAGTGCTAATGCTTAAGAGATATCTTATACAGCATAGACAAATGTGTATCTATTTTGATTATTAAACGTATGAATTATAATGGATCAGCACCTGCAAAATTTCTTGGTCTGGCTGATGATTGCATTGAAAAGCCGGAATTTCGGATTTGCGATCCTTCAGTCTTGGATGGACTGGCTCAGAAGTTTCTTCAGAATACAAGTTGCATACTTTCAGATCACCAAATTCTCCATGATAAATCTCATTTGACCAGCACAACTGATTTGTGTGCAAAACTTCACAACCAATGGACAGTAAATCTAATAAAAGCAATCGCTACGCAAAACAAAAGGGAATAAGAGGAATAAAGGATAGAAACATTAACAAAGAGACATAATCCAGAACAAACATCAGGTTGTCTAGTATAGCAGTAAAAGGCCATTCATTTTACCTTTAAACTTAGTTCCAACTTGAACATCTGAATGAGCTCTTCAGCTAATTTTTCTGGGATCATTAAAAGATCATAATTACCCAAATGAACTGTGTTTAAAACTCATTCACCAAATAGTATGTGGTCATACCAAAGGAAGAGATAGACCAAAATCCAAAAACTGCGACTCCACCACAATCACCAGTTTCATTAATATCCTCACTAGAGCTGGAAAATTGAACAAGTGAACTACTACTGGCTCCTTTGAGAAAACATCTCATGGATTTACTAGCATTGACCATTTGCACTACAACAGCCACCTGCAGAAAACTTATTAACATATTTTCACAATATACAACAACTATAAAAACTCTCCCAAAAGTTTAGCCAACGGAACTGATACCATAGTGAAGTTTAAGTGGCGGTTAACATAGATAAGTAACCAAGTTTGATACAGCCTATAGAAACTGTCATGGTTGATAAAATCCATCAGAATACAAGAAAGTTGTTATTTTGAAAGCTTAATAGTACATACATATTCCAATAAGATGCACTTAGCAATTAGCAGAGTCATACGGAAAAAAACATACCATGTCCTTGTAAGATGATAAAAGTTTGCTACGATGAAGCTCCTGAAAGAAATATTTAATTATTACTACAAGTACTAGAATACACTTTTCAGACACATACTCAAACAACAGCAAAAGAATCTCTTTCTTGTCCTTAAAATGAAACATTAATCAACATGATTTAAATGAAAAGGAAATGAAAGAGAAAAAATAATGAAACTAAAATGAAATGAAAAGCATACTTGCTGCTTAAATAACTTTAAAGAAGCTTTCTTTCGAATATCTGGCATATCCTTTAGAGCACCCAACTCCATCAATGGCATGTATCTGAATTCAACATAAAAAAAAAAAATTAACAATAAAAAAGAGGATATATAATCAATAATTTGAAGAAAAAAAACATGGGGTTTTCACTTTTGAGATAAATAAGCGTTGACGAGAGAAGTGGCGTGAGTTCTGGCAGAAGAGGAAGAAGAGAGCCATTGTTGGCGGTAGGACGCCATTTTGGACCATTGGTTCCTTAGGTTTCGTTGAGCAGCTGGTCTCCATAGCCTTGCCGAAGATGACGGTGGCATTGGGGAAGAGCCCCAGCTGTGTGATTTTGGCTCTGGAGTTTCCATCTTCCAGTCCACGTTTCAGTTCTGTGATTGCCTTTTGAGTATATCTGTCGGACACCCAACTCCATGAGCTCAACTTGGATCGGATTTTAAAACCTGTGTCAAGGTCCAGTCCAAATTATTATTTAATTAACAAAATTTTTTAGTTAATTTTAATTTAAAAATATTAGTTATTCTTTTTTAATATTTTAACATTTTAATTTTAACAAAAAATTAAAAAATCACAATCTATTATATATGATAATTTATGTATTTATATTATATAAAATATTAAAATTTATATATTTATATCATATTTTATATAAAAATTACATATTATAATTTTTATAAATATAAAAATATAAAAAATATATTTTTAATTACATTAAATTTATATATAATTATTATTAAAATTTTAAATTATATTATTTTTGTATTATATCATCACATTATTTTTTAAATTAGTGCGGCTTCAAGACTAGAGAATGCACTCATCCAACGTTTTAGATTAACCTACCTACCACGGTTCATACCTTTGTGAGGTATTATCCGCTCTGACCCCTTTGCGTTACAGTTTTATCCTACAAAATAGGCCTCACAAAGGGAAGTCGTGTGAACCCTTTTATACCCCAGTGACTCTTCTTTTTATGTTCGATGTAGGATTCAGAACTACTTCTTAGGTCCGTAACATTCTCTCCCACCCAACCTCATGACAATCTTGTCACGGAGGCTGATCATCTTACCTACCTCTCTTGAGGTGCTTAGCGTGAGTCGAACGGTTTAAGGTTAGCTCTGATACCACTTGTTACGAGTCGAGACTTAAGTTCCGACCCGCACGACTCCAGGACCCGGACATTCACTCATCTGATATCTCAGATCAGCCTACCTACCATGGTTCACATCTTTGTGAGGTATTGTCTGCTCTGGCCTCTTTGACCTTATGATTTTGTATTACAAAAGGTACCTCACAAGGTAAAGGTGGTGTGAATCCTTATATACCCCAGTGGCCTTCCTTTTATATTCGATGTGAGATTCAAGATTCTTTCTTAGGTCCGTGACATTCTCTCCCACCTAACTTCGTGACGCTCTCGTCACGGAGGCTAGCCACCTTACCTATCTCTTTCGAGGTGCTTGACGTGGATTGAACGGTTTAGGATGGCCTGATACCACTTATCACAGGTTGAGACTTAAGCTTCGACTTGAATGTCACGGACCTAAAGAGGAGTCTTGAATCTCACATCGAACATAAAAGAAGGATCATTAGGGTATAAAAGGGTTCACATCACTCTTCATTGTGAGGCACCTTTTGTAAGATAAAACTGTGAAACCAAGGGATCAGAGCGGATAATACCTCACAAGAGTGTGAATCGTGACAGGTAAGTTGATATGAGACGTCAGATGAGTGGATGCCCGGGTCTTAAAGTCACGCTGGTCAGAACTTAAGTCTCAACCCGTGACAAGTAGTATCAGAGTCAGCCCTAAACCGTTCGATCCACACCAAACGCCTCGAATGAGATAGGTAGGGTGGTCAGCCTCCGTGACGAGGGTGTCATAAGATTGGGTGGAAACAAATATCACGGACCTAAAGAGCAGTTTTGAATCTCACATCGAACATAAAAGAGGGTCACTGGGGTATAAAAGAGTTCGCACCATCTCTTCGACTGAGATCTAACCTATACAACATAAACACGTAAACACGTAAAATCGAAACTGCCTGATATCATTTGTTATGGGTTGAGACTTAAGCTTCGACCCGTATGACTCTAGGACCGAGCATGCACTCATCCGATGTCTCAAATCAGCCTACATGTCATGGTTCATACCCTTGTTAGGTATTGTCCGCTCTGGCCCCTCTGACCTAATGATTTTGTCCTATAAAAGGTACTTCACAAGGCAGTACCCCAGTAACCCTCTTTTTATGTTTGATGTGAGATTCAAGACTCATCTTTAGGTCTGTGACATTTTTTTTTACCTAACTTCGTGATGTCCTTATCATGGAAGCTGGCCATCCTACCTACTCCTCTTGGAGCACTTAACGTGGATCGAACAGTTTTAGGACTGGCTCTGATATCACTTGTCATGGGTCGAGACTTAAGCTTTAACTTGCTCGATTTCATGATCCGGGCATCTACTCATTTGAAGTTCCAAATCAGCTTGACCGTCGCGATTTGTACCTTTTATGAGGTATTCTTCGCTCTGGCCCCTCTAACCTCATGTTTTTATCCTCTCACAAGGAAGAAATGGTGTGAATCCTTTTATATCCCAGTGACCTTCATTTTATGTTCGATGTGAGATTCAGGATTCCTTCTTAGGTTCATAACATTTTCTCCCACCCAACCTCATGACGCCCTCATCACGGAGGCTAGTCAACATGTCTACCTCTAACCTCATGACACCCTTGTTGTGTTCTCTGCATGGTACTACCTGATCTGGTCTCCAAACTGTCATAAGTATTCCACTGGTTCTCAGCTCACCTCACTGTTTGAAAGTCTCTTTTAGCGTACCAAGTATTCTTATCTTAGTTGGTAGTTCTTCTGCCTTACTTCTCGGTCAGCTATGATGCTGTGGACTTCCTTCTCATATAATGTCCTTGCTCCTAACGACGTACATTTTGACTTTACTTGTCTTAGATCTCTCTTATCCTCATGGAACAGCTTGAGCATACTTACATGGAACACTGGGTGTACCCTTAGCTTGGGTGGCATATCCAGTTTGTAGGCAACCTTGCTTACCCTTTTGACTACTCGAAAAGGTCCTTCATACCTCCGGACTAGGCCTTTGTGCAGTCTCTTGTGGCACACAATGGGATACAGCTTCACCAAAACCAAGTCTTCTACCTGAAACTGCACGTCCCGCCTATTCTGGTCTATCCACTTCTTCGACCTCTTTGTCGCCTTGTGTAGACAGACTCTGGCCAAGTCAGCTTGCTCCTGCCAAGCCTCGGTAAACTTGTATGTTGCTAGATTCAGCCCTGTATAACCTGCAGCAATCGAACTGGGTGTTAATGGTTGTTAACCTATCACATCCTCAAATGGGCTCTGGTTCGTTGCCTCGCTCCTTTGCAAGTTATAAGAAAACTGTGCAACATCTAGCAACTTTGGCCAATCCCTTTGTATGGCACTCATATAGTGCTTGAGGTAGACCTCCAATAGTCCATTCACACGCTCAGTTTGCCCATCGATTTGTCGATGCAAGTTGGTGGGAAAGTTCAAGTTTGACCCCAACAGCTTGAACAATTCAGTCCAGAACTTACCTGTAAAACTCTCATCTTGATCACTAACAATGGTCCTCAACACTCTTCAATACTTAACCACGTTCTTCAAGAACAATCGAGCTACCTCATCAGTCGGGCACTCCTTGGTTGCTGAAATGAAGATTCCATACTTGGAAAACCTGTCTACCACTACCATGATGCTTTCAAACCCTTCTGCCTTGGGTAGGCCGACTATAAAGTCCAGAGAAACACCCTCTTATGGTCGCTCTGGCATTGGCAATGG